ATATGTATATATATATATGCATGCAGCTGTACTCCGAAAACTTCTTGCGGGAATCTGACCACCACCGATATCGAACTCTGAAGTGAGTGGTCCGTTGCTGTTTTGGGTTCAGGTCATGATCTCCAGTTGTGGAGGCTTGCGTGAGGCTGTTGTTGCAAGACCGGGCGGGTCACTATTGAGATGGATTCAAAAGCATGTGGGCCACGCGCCCACACACTCGCTTTACATACTACCGGTTATCTGCACAACTTGGGTGAAACGGACGTGCGCATGTGAAGAGAAGAAAGTTTCGGTATGTAGCTCATCTATGAACTATACTGATGTGCCAACTAACCCATGAGGATAGATAAGTAACACATGCAAAAGCCCCTATTTAGGTAAGAACGTATATCTATCAATCGAAAATATTTGGAGGTATGTATAGGGGTTATGTATTCCATGGGCTTCATGGACCTTGGCTCTAGAATCCCAAGTATGGCCTTCAAGAAGTGATTACTCTAAGATTCTTACGCTCTTTGAGGACCTGCCAAACCACAGATGCTGCATTTTAGGCTTTGGGATTTAGTGCTCATTTTTCCACATTCACACGTTAAGCTCTGCTGCTTCCCAAGGACTCATACAGCCGAGGCGATCATTTCCACCGATCCGGTGCGGGCGTCCGGGGCCTTTGCATGAGGGCTTCAGTGTTCCTTCGCAAAAGCCCTGAACCCAGATTCCAATGTTATTACATCACATCCCTATATTGTATTCTACACTCCCAATTTAGAACACCCCCCCCCCCCCCCGCCCCTTCCCCCCCAAACGATGGGTTGGGTTCCTGGCTTTCTGCGTCTTGGGCCGGGATTGCAAGCGTCAACGGATGACGGATACCCGGCACCCAGATCCTCAAACCCTAAAAGCATGGAACCTACACTCTAAACCTAGATTTCCGAAAACACCTACACCGCTCCCACACCATTAACTCTCGAGGCCTAAACCCAATTAGCCCTGCCCTTCGCGACATGAATCTCTTTTTCTTGACAACGCGTATACAGCTTGGGTTTATGGCTTTGCTGTACATTGGGGTTAATTAATGTTTGGGTCGGGTGTAGAACTGCCTTCCATGAAGAACACATTTACACACTGGGCATGGGGGATGTGCGAACTCCCCCGGCCACGAAGGTCCCCCATATGTTATGAACAACTTACGGTTCACATCAGGTCCCGTATGTTCGGACACCTGCATGAATCAAGAGCGCAAGTCCCGGTGCTTTTCCCCAAAGATCACTTGAACTTTACAGCCAAAAGTGTTCTCTCGCTCTCTCTCTCTCTCCCTCTCTCTCGCTCTCTCTCTCTCTCTCAAACCCAGCCCGGCTGCTCCGTTCAACTGCACCTGGCGGCCTTCGACAAAGAGGCCTGGCAGAGCCGCTGCACAACTTTCCGGGGATTGGGGGCGGGATTGAAAAAACATGGTTTCAGGTGGCTTGATCCAGCTTTTTTGTCTTTGTTGTTGTGGTGAAAGGTGTTCGATCTCTTGCATATCTTTCTAATGAAAGTCTTCCTTATGTATGTATGTACGTACGTATGTATCTACGAATCTTCGAATCTATGAATGTTTGAATGTATATTATGTTGTGTTGCGTTGTGCTCCACTGCGTTATGGTGTGCATTTTAATGTGTGTGTATACATCTCATGAGAGTGCCAGTGCGGTAGAGACCCCATGTCCATCCCTTTGAGATCCTGACTCAGAAATAAAAAGAAGCAAAGAAGGGCTTAGGGTTTGTGTATAGAGGGGTTTAGGTTTAGGGCTTAGGGTTTAGAGTTTGTGTATAGGGTTTGGGAGTCTAGCGTTTCTGTGAGATGGGACTGCGTGCAGGGGGTAAGAGCTCGTCGTCTGGACTCTGCACATAAATTGAAACGGTCACTCCGCCCCTACGCGAAACAGGTTAGTTCAAAGATGTACTGTAGGGGCCTTCATAATTAG